CGTTATTTTTTTCTTCATAACTTGGGATACTAGTAAATTCATCGGATTCAGAGAGAAAATGGATATACAGTAGTATTTGAAGAGGAGCTAATAGAATACAATTTTCTAAATATTCCTGCGATGAAAACAGCGAGCTTAGTAAAATTACCTGAGGGCATTTGTTTATATGAAACTCATCAGGTACATTTTGAACGACTGAAAGGACTGGAAAGTGTCAGTCCTGGCTCCTGGGAAGGGTTTCAGTGGCAAAATTGACAACCAGCATTCGGATAAGCTTGGCACGAGCCGATTCCTTCGAACCTCTTCGGGTTAAAACAATTTTCCCCAGTCTTTCTTGTTGTCGAGATATTCGAGCGATAAATCAAGCATTCAGAAAATTCCTTCACGCGCTTCCCCTTGCAATTTCGGAAAAAAATAGCGGCGGGCGCAATTTTCGATTCTCCCCAGCGCGGGTTCCATAAATTATTGAAACCCTTCCTGGGCATTTCCGACCCCAAAATTATGACGGCTACAAACCTGACTTAGGCTAAACATTCAGGAGACGGAGAGGACCCAGCTACTGAACCGAACGGGCCGCGGGTTCCCTGTAATGACGCCGTTGGTGGGTTCCCTGTGTTACCATGTCGACAAGCGTCGACTATAAAAACCTTGGGGAAATCGATGCGTCGAATTTGTGTCAAGGCGACTTTTCCCGCCTCTTTCTCCTTCCTAAAAATAAAGGCCACCAGAGACCTACTAATACATTTTCCCGGGACGTTAATTGAATAGGAAAAATTAATTTCCACAAGAAATTATACTTTCCGCCAAAATTATTGACCTTTATTTTGAATCTGCTCAGATCTTACCCATTGGTAAGAATCGAGTCGAAGGTCAGAGATCGCAGCAATCAAGATTATGTCAACTTTCCTAGAGGTGCGTTGCTGAAAATTGTGAAAACATGAGTGGGTTATGCATGAAAAAAACCTTGTGATAATAAAACTTAAAAAATCAGGAACTGTATTGCTAGTTTCTCGAAATTTATTTTTAGATTTGTCTAGAGATTAATTAAAAAGCTCCGCATTTTTTCAATAGGTTCATTTCATTAAACTGACCAAGTATTGACAAATAAGTATTGAATTTTCCATCTTATCAGAATGACGAAATTTTAATTATTTACGCGTTCCTCGAAAATCGGAATTTTATGTTGGTGGGGGTCGTCAGTAGTTTTTCTAAAAAAAAAATTTGCTTTTATTTGTCGGGAAATTTCACGAAGATTTCGAAAGGAATTCTTCGCAGCTCATCATGAGATAATCCTTCAGAGAGTCGATTTATTCCTTATTTTCCCGCAAATATTACAAGGATATTGCAGGAATAAAGGACTTATAGAATCATACGCTCGCCTTCATTCTCCCACAGGTCATTAAGCTCAAAAAAAGCAAAACAGAAGTAAATTATGCAACGAACAAGCATATCTGGATAAATTGAACATTTTCGAATTCCATTATCAAGGCCAAATCTCTCCACAGGAACGCGTGACGTCAGAATCCGGGAAAGCTTTTTGTTCATGAACTTGTCTTGGGTGCTCCACAAGAATGTAAGAGGGACATGAAAAACAATGAAAGTTCCTTCTTTGATTGAAAATGCCAGGTACAGTATAGTTGTACCTTCAAGTACGAACACCTCATATGGCAGTAACATTCTGTATAGAATGAACGTTCTATGAGCAATTCACTATTTTTTTGTAAATTTGCCAGTCCGCAGGCACAAAAAGGTTGGGGAACACTGTATTAGAGCATCTGATATGCCACAGGAATGGTGAAAGCACCCTTTAGCGATTTTCCCCTGACTTAACAGCTGTATTACAGGGAAACCCAAATTTTTCCTGGAATGTTGCAAAGGTTTTGGATGTAAATAAATCATTATTTTCCGGACGCATCAAAAACCCACAGTACAGTATATTCCCCAGCATGGAGAATGAGGAAGACCCAGGACCAGGAGTAAAAGGTGCAACAGAGATTCCTGACACAGAATCCACCTGTCCACAGATTTTCGCAGTCCGGGACACACAAAAATCATCGTGACCAGAGAGAATCGCAGCAGTCCGTTATGTTTCCAAACCGGTTTTCCGCGTGCCTTCGAAAGAAGCGGCTTCTGGTCGTCGGAATTAAAATCCCTTGATTCCTCTTCTTCCTCGGAAAAATCTTCCCTCTTTCCCCCCCCCCCTCCTCCTTTTTTTCTTCCAATTTTCTTATTCTGGCCCATTATCATTTAATCACAACTTTGGGGGGAAATCGCTTCATCTTCATCCCTGTATCGCTTCATCGCTGTATTTGAAAGCAATCATCCCTGGAGGGTGCATTAGGCGTCAGAATGAGTCCTGAGGGCTTAATCTGATGGGATCATGCCTTGAGGATGAATCAGGAAAAATGCATTATGAAATTTCGTCCAGTACTTCGTTATATAGACGAGTTTTCGAAGGAACTTCACATGAAATTAAAATGTTACGGAATGAAGATCCGTTGATTGAAACGTCATCTTGAATCGACAATTTTCAACAAGGCAGCACCAGCCTGTTTTCGAGGAGCGAGAATACATTTTTTTCTTTATTGTCGATTGACAAAAATTGGAACGTTTGGCGCTGGGCAGATCGATGAAAAAAAAACTTTAAGGACCAGGAGAAGATTTCTTGTGAGAAATCTCAAGTTTACCTTCTGAACGTGGACTACCTGTGAATAACGGATCTTGTCTTCAACGATTTGTCTGTATAATGATTAATTTTTTGGTCCAACTCGGGGTTCTGTAAAACAAAATTTCCTCTACAACGGATGAGTTTTTCTTGCCGATTCAATTTTGTTGTAGAGAGTCTACCCGCATTTTATTTTCAGAGCGTGAATTTATTTAACGTTTTTAAGATACACTTTCATATAATCACTTCAGCTGAACACACAGAATGCACATTGATTCAACTGGCTCTTGTTTTTTTGCAAATAATTTCGTGGATATATGGAAGAGGAGGCAGTTAAAGCCTCCCAATGGTTTATCCCTGTTTTCTGTCAATTTCATCAACTTATTTTTATATCGATCCTCAAATTGACCAAGATGTGCGATTCCCCTGAAATTATCAAATTGAACATTGTTGAGAAATTTTTACAGAAGAACGGCAAGATTGAAAAAATCATGCCCCGCGTGCCGAAATTGATCGTATGCTGGGAATTCGTATCATTAATTATCATTTTACATATAATAACTTTTTCACCACATTAAATGTGGAAGCAGAACAAAGACGCTCTATAGACATGAAAATAATCGGAATTAATTTGAAAGGGTTTTGGAGCAGCGAATTCTGAAACATGTAACGTATTATCCTATAATGTCTCGTGTAAAACAGAAACATTGTAGACAATGTCACAGAGTTTCGGACAAACGTAGGCGAGGTCAAGAAGAACCCAGGGTCAGCGGCAGCATGTTCAAAAAGGCAAATACTAGCCTGTTCTCAGCAGGAAAACGCACACAACCTGCTCATGCACAAAGGTATGCATTTTAAACCAAGAGTCCATGCAAATTACAGTAATATCTTCCAACTAGTTCAACACACGCGACAGGATCATGACAATGTATCAGCAAGCCATTATAAACAATGTAAAATTCATACTGTTTGATTCAAGTATCATAAGCTCAATGACCACATTCACGGTATTGATCAAATGTACGTGATGATTAAAAATAGTGAAGTAAGTATGAAAAGCGAAGCTTTCTGAAGGGTGCAAATCAAATGCAAATAAATCAACGTTGTATTGCGATGAAAAATTTGTCCAAAACTGTCACCGTAACCTGAGCACTTCCATATTTTTCCTCATTTTTTTAAATACTTTTTCGCTGTTCAGCGGAAGGTCCGAAGGAATAACTTTGAATCCTTTTGTAAATCATAATTTCCATATTTTCTGTCATGAACAGGTTTAACTGTAGTCCCGAATCACCAAGACAAAGTTTCTCACCAAATAAAATTTCTATATTTGCTAATTTTTCACAACTTGTCTTGAAGTACAACACCTTTTTAAAGTTGTTCATTCTTAAAAAGACTGGAAATGAAAAATAGGTTCTTCGAATTGGAATACAGTTCAAACAGTGATTTTCTGACTTTGGAAGTAAAGAAGATTGTTGTAAAAAATGAGAATGAAACCAGCATTAAATACTGTATCTGACTATAGCATGGATTATGGTACGGATTATTTAACCATTTTTCCCAATTCCATGTGTCTTTTGGATGTAAAAAGCAAATTAATTGTAAATCATTGATAGAAAAAAAAATGCCCTGGTATCAAACATTTCTGCTGATTTTTATTTTTATTTTTTGGAACACAATTAGGTTGGTCAACTTAGGGTGAACCATGTGACATGTCCTCCAAAAATTCTTGAATGATTGATTGATCAACAAGCATTATTTTCTGCGTTTCAGCATTCACAAATTTCAAGCAAATTTTACACATCCAGAACCCCTCCCCTCACCACTCACATTCATCCAAAATTCCAAACACATTCCAACACATCAAAATAGAAAATAGAGAAATAATCTGTACATGAATATTGAAAGAAAAGGGAATAAATCCCAAAATTTACAATTGCACTGGCAGCACTGCTGATGATGTAAATGCATACATAGTCTTCCTCTCCACAATAACAAAAAGAGAATTTCAACGATAAAAATTACAGAAGAAGGAAATTATTGAGCCCACATTAAAGCACAAGTTGTTCAGCCTGCTCCCTATAATGAACTAAGTTTTAGTTGATTGAACAATTTGGAGAAAATCTTTGATGAGGAATTGTATAAAGTTCAAACTTTATCTTGGTCCTCTATGATTTTGAAAAGAGTCTTTTCATGATATTGTAAGAGTCCCGAATCTTTTTTAAATTCTTGAAATTTGTTCACACATTTCAAGTGCCAGGAGTATAGTTGATGCTCATCTGGATTTTTAGCACAAAATTTATATTCGACTGATCCGAAAATCATTCTATTTCAACAGGTGATGTGGGATGACGTCATAGGAGAGCCAGAGGGGATTTCATCCCCGGATTGCACATGGAAATGCTCGGCTATGCTCTTCACCATGATGAAGCAAGCCATTTACTTGCTTCTGACGGTCATCTTCGCTCCGTTTGCTGCTTGCTGTCTCGGAGCTCAGTTCGCCTGTCTCAGCTGTTGCGTAAGGACACACATTTCACAAAAGCATGGTTTTAGTTCCGTTTTACATAAATAAAATAAAATGAAATACAGCCAGGCCCCCGCAATGCAGACGTCGAGACATATCGACACTTGAAACTTGAAAAATCTGCCCCGAAATCGGAAAAATGTCTGGATTCTCGAGATACGAAAAATTTTACCAATATTTTTTTACAAGAATGGAAAAATCACATTTTTCAAAATGTTGATATCTCTTGAGCGTTGTTCGCTTTTTATTTACACCTATATATAGTAATATAAATAAAATGCTGAACTGGGTAATTTTTGCTGATTTTTCATAGTTCTTCCTTCTTTTCATGATCTGTGCAGAGTCTAAAAAGGGTTTTTTTTCCTTCTTTCATGCAAAAAGATCTGATTATGCGGGGTTATCTTCTGCACTCCTATTTTTTGTTCTTGAAGTATAGAGAAAAATTAGGCTATTCAATTTTTGCGGGATTTATTCCTGATTTTGGATCAACAGGGGAACCAATCTCACATATTGAAGTTTACGGGAAAACTGGAACCGAAGTGCAAAAGTTTCGACATAGGGACATTGTCCATGCACCAAATACGTCCGCATGTCGGGGCCACACTGGTCGAATCCCAAGAAAAATAGGCTTGGAAATCATGCAGTATTTGTGGGCTATTCTGTAAAAAAAAAATGCCACGTTCTATAGCCGGCCAGCATTAAAAAAATATCAATTTTTTCTCATCACCATATGATAAGAATGGTTCATTAATTCTGCAGTCAATCGTCTTCATCTCTTGTTTGATGAAAAGCAATAAATGTAATTTTTCCATTGAAAAATTTGATCGTTTGATTATTTTGCACATTTTTGTTGCAATTGACCCGTATCGAAATAGTGAGAAGAACCAGATAAAAGGGCACCCAGTGATTGTCAGAAAAAACTTGGTCCTCCGTACGTATTTGCAATATATTCAATTTTATTCATTTTCAGACAATCTAGGGGCAATCAAGTAATTTAAATCACTAAAAGTTCCTTCTTGTCATATTCGAAAGGAAATATTCTACCCTTCGCAACTTTTGAGCAAGGGTTCTTAATAGAAGAGCAGCCCTGATATTATGTAAACTCAAGGAAAAATACGTCAATGGAAGAAAATCCACAAGTACACTACGGAGACAGGTTTTTTACTATATTTTTAAATTGTGAGTACAGTATATACCTATAAGTAGGGCATCCCTGAAATGTAAAATGAAAGCGATAACTCGCGACTTCAATGGAAAGAAAACCAAATTTGATTAAATGAGGCTGGTTTTAATCCCGATATTAATTCGGCAGCGGTTCGAGTAAGGCTATATACAGGAGAAATCATAGATTTCTAAATAACCTCAAATTGCGGTGTTGATACAATTTTTGAATCCTTCTCATTAAATTTGATAAGAGAACTTTAATGGATTCTTCCGGTAAAATATTTGTCTGCCAGATTAAAATTGAAACAGGAGAATGATATTCTTGACCTTCTACTTGAAAGAAATCTAAGGAAATCGAGGAGAAGTATTGATGTGGTATGCCCCGTTAATTCATTTCCAATTATATTTGGATCACTTTAATGGTTCGTCATATATTTTCAAAGTGGCATATACCCCGTAGTATAGTATCACAAATCAGTCAAAGCAATGTGATTCTTGATGCAAAAAGCTAAGCAATGTTCATACTATTTCTGTCCTTTATTTGAATTGAATTATTGAAGAGAAAGCTTTATTTTCTGCTCTTCAGTGTGAACAAGGTTCACACATCATTCCCACATCAAAAACCTCCTCCCAACCCAAATCCTTCCAAAGGCATTCAATGACTTCAAAAGGGAAAACAGAGAAGTAAATTGTATGTAGATACCAAAATAAAAAGCATCCAACAAAGTACATCCTCACTACTGGTGTGAATGACGATACACCCCCTTCCTTCACTGATAACAAAAAGACAAGATATCAGTACAGTAATAAGAATTGCAACCCATTTACTGAACCCAATTTAAAGTACGAGGTCTTCAACCTGTGAATTCCCAGATACGGTTTAGTCTAATAAATAATTTGGAGAGAATCTTTGATGAGAAATCATGCAAGGTTGACAGTTTATCTTGGTCCTCTAGAATTTCAGGAAGGATCTTTTCATTGAATTTTGATAGTCCCAATTCTTTCAAAATTAATTTAATGTTTTTCTCTTAATTTTACTGCCCCCATTGTAATTTTTTAAAGACCCGGTAGTTGATCAAGAAAAATTTCAGGAGAATTATGCTCTAGCGCAATACTGAACCGGATTTCAAATCAGCCATCGATTCGGAATTTTTTTTTTCAAAGAAACGAGATCGAAAGTCTCTATGGAAAATGACGTACACTTATTAGCTCACGTTCTGCTGACCTTTTGTCCCGTTATGTCAACGGACAGACACGATTCTTGAATAATAAATGCTCAACGTAACTAATGCCCTAGTAAAATAATCCACATCCTCGCAGAAAAACCAACCCATCTTTTTTGGGAAATATAATCATTTTCTAACTGGTCTTTATTGATCTCACCTTAATTTACGCATAATGGGTTCCCTGAGCTCAATATCAGGCCCACCTGGTGGTGTACCCGGGTCTTCTTCATCTGCACTTTGTAATTTGCATTGCGCGCAGCTGCATCCTAACCCGTCTCCCCGCTTTTCTTTGGTTTTGCGCATTTCCGCGCGCCAAAAAAAAAATGAAAAACGGCGCTATTATTTTCATCGGAAATTATTGGGGCTTTAGTTTCTGGTAACTCTATTGCAGTGGTAACAGACTCAGAAGTGGCCACAAACCGGATAGAAAATAGAGCATTATGCGGGCCAGCACAACAAAGGAAAATCCCACTTTTTAATTTCAAGTTACCAACAATTTTGAATTTTAAATGCGGCACTCCATGAAGCCCTTAAAATATGCCTATCAAATTTTCATGCAATTTGTACCATCAAAATAATTTTAAAATCTCATGTTATTGAATTTAATCGTGACAACTACTTTTTTGTAAGCAACTGCACAATAGCTTATTTACTGTTATTTGAATTTTCCCTTCCTTTTTATCACAGTCCTGTTTTTGTTGTTGTAAAGAATCCTTTTCTTTTAATAATATTTTACTTGAATAAAATGAATAAAATCCTACACATACAAATCCTGATGATTGGTGATTGTTCATACTGGCTCTGTGGGCCTCATGAAAAGCCTCCACAGGCCAGATCTGGTCATATTTTGTGAACCCATGCTCTATTCTCTATATTGGATTAATCTCGAGATGGCAGAGTGCCTTTCCAGTTCGCAGCAGAGTTGGGATTTTTTGGACTGCACATTTCAGCTTGACAAAAGGTCAATGAAATACTTCCCAGTTTGGGATGGCCTAAGTTGAAAACTCTGGGTGGAAAATTCCCTGTTGTTTTAAAGAATCTCCAATGATAAACCTATGGTAGCAATGCAAAAAATACCCCCCAGTGCGGATTTTTTTTTATTTCTCATGAAACATTCTCTGCAGGATTATTGGAAAAAAATTTCAGACTTTTTCCAACTTGAGCATTGTTACAAAATCATAATTTGTTTACATTTTCAGTGCTCATGCCTGTAGGGACTATGGTGCATGGCAGAAATGAAATATAATGATCTGCCCTGAATCCCTGAAACTGATGCTGGAGCTTATATATAGAGCTCAGCACCAATTGAAACTGTCCCCAAAGAACCTTCAAATGCATATAGAAGCATCAAAAACTTGAAATCAACAGCATATTCTAATTAGAATATAATTAGCTTCCATGGCTTGAACCAATTCTCTGAAACATTGTGTGAATTATTGTGTGTGAATATTTATTTTACAAGAAGATGCTGAATTGTTGATTGTTTTTGGAACATAAATAAATATCAATATCTTGTAGACCCTATATAAAGAGGCTTCCAGCCGCACTAATTCAGGTGTTTGAATGAATGAATGAATGAACAGAAAGCTTCATTTTCTGCTTTTCAGTGTTCACAAGGTTCAATCAACATTCCCACATCCAAACCCCCTCCCAACAGGTGTTTCAATCATAAAATCTCTTTGGTTGGCAAAAACCCTCAATATGCATGCAAAATTTTGCAACAATATCCTGACTTTGCCACATGTAAATATTTATTGAAATAAAAATAAAAAATTATTTCCTGAATAACAGCATATTTGGTGCTGCATGCCCTGTCTGCGCAGAGTGCGCACCTACAAGATCAACAATGCTTAAGTTGGAAAAAGTCTGAAATTGGTTCCAATTCTGCAGAAAATTTTTCATGAGAAATGAAAAAAAATCTGTCACAGGGGGACATTTTTTCATTGCTACCGTAGGTTTTCATTGGAGATTCTTCAAAACAACAGGAAATTTTCCACCCAGACGTTTCAACTTATAGGCCATCCCAAACCGGGAAGCATTTCAGTGACTTTTGGTCAAGCTGAAATGTGCAGCCAAAAAAATCCCAACTCTGCTGCGCAATGGAAAGGAGCTCTGCCATATCTCAAGATTAATCCAATAGAGAATAGAGCATTGGTGCCCAAAATATGGCCAGATCTGGCCTGTGCTGGAGGCTTTTCATGAGGCCCACAGAGCCATGCAGTATGAACAATCACCAATCATCAGGAATTGTATGTGTAGGATTTTATTCATTTTATTGAAGTAAAATATTATTATCAGAATGAAATATTATATTATATATCATGTTAATGAAATTTTTACAATTTTTTTCCCTGAATAACAGCATATTTGGTGCTGCATGCCCTGTCTGCGCACCTACAAGATCAACTGCGCCATGTGGAAGAACTTCTACGAGGTCTGGCTGGCTGCGACCTGCACCCCGTGTTGCGAGTCCATCGGTCGGGTCTTCTCCAAGGCCCGGGTCCGTTACCAGAGATTGCCCGACGGCGACGATGAGGAGAAGAACGTGTTCCAGGTCTAAAATCATCGACGACCCCGACGGCCACGCTATGGGATATTATTTCGGAAAAGGGGAAGAAGTTGCACAGAAACGAGTACTGCATGCTGGACTCCCGCTATGCTATTCAATGATCCGGTATATTCAAATAAGGTTTTCTCTGTGGAGGTTTTTTTTTTTTTTTTTTTTAGCCCATGGGGTTCTTTCCTGGTGTATGTTATGAGGTTTCTCTAAAACAAAATTTCTGCCTTGAACCATTTCTTGCTGGCCTTCTGTATTTTTTGTACAATAAAAGAGTCCTTCTTGGTGGACTCCATCTCACTGTACGACAATCTGGTCCACAAAGATTTTCTCTACACTGTGTAATTAACTTTTTTGTTGGTTCCTTGAGGTTCTCTCCCCAAGTATAGAGGTTCTCTACAAAAAATTATTTCTGCAATGCATTTTTCCTGGTCCCTTAATTATTATTTTTGTATAGAGACTGCAATCAAGAGGAATCTCTCCACAATAATTTGTCTTGAAAGATTTTCTCTGCGTAATGTTTTCTTTGTTTGTCTGCTAGGGTTCTCTGCAATTGAATTCTCTCTGCAACAAAATATTTTCTGGTATACATTTTGTTATAGAAAGAGAAAGTCTACCTGTATTTGTTTTCCCGGAAGTTCATCAACTCACTGTATTCAGAGCAACATGGAGAGAAACGGGGGATTGGGAGAAATAATGACCGAGTTTATCCAAGAATTTTTAAAATTCAACCTAGAAAATCCTGCGGCTTTTACTCTGAAACGAACTCATGAGTGCATTTAAATGCCTTGGTTATACTTGCCAAAGGTCTAACTAGAATTCAGAATAGCGTTAGTGAAACGGAAAATAATAATTTCAGAAGTTTATCAGCGTATATTGCGGAAAAATGTTCAGAAAACGGCAAATGTGAGGAAAATATCACGAAAATTTCAAGCAAATTTTGTAAAAAGAAACCATCAAATGTAACGTTGCAAAAATAAGTCACGAGAGAATCATCGAGATTGAAAAGCATATTGAAGTTTATGCGAAACGTTCACTTATAATTATGTTTGCAACATGAATTCCTAAAATCTCACCTGATCGGAAAATGCATCTGAAATTTTTTAAATAAAGTTTGAGTGTGATTTTCTCTACTTTTGCTGCGGAGCTTTTTCTTAGCTGTAGTTCTATACATCAAGAATAATCCATTTATTATAATTAACTCTCCGACTGTCACAAACCATTTGAAGTGTGGAAGAACAAAAAAACGCAAAACCATATTTGCGAAGTCAATCAATATATTGGACGACACTTGAAATAAAGAGGGCATCTACATAAATTTTCACTGATTAATTGGAAAAGGCCTTCTCCTATGTTTTTTTCTCAAGCAATAAATATTTTATAAAAATGCTTCAAATAATGCATGCGAAAGAAGGGAATGTCCACCTGTTCAGGGAGAATTTTTCAGTCTCTGAATAGATAGAGAAAATCTCTGAATTCGAAGAGTCTTTCTATTGCTTAAATTTCCAGCTGCTTATAATGAGAAGCTTATAAAATTCAGTTTTTTTTTTCTGCAGAATATTGAAACAGTTTTTCTTGCATGTCGCTTCATATAAGCTTGATTTTCATAAAAAATGATGGCTAAGAAAATTAAATTGCGTTTGTGGATTTTTTTCCGTAATTCGAACGTCCAGGGTCAAGGATAGAGCAAAGGAAAATTGCGCGCTGAACAACTGAACTGAGCGCCAGCGACAACCGAGCACTTAGCATTCAATTGAGCAAAGATTGAAAGTCCTTGTTCGGTTATGCACTTTTGAAAACAGTTTTCTGTTGTAATTAAAGTTTAACTTTCAACTTTTGAGGTAAATATAAAAACCCTGGAGATTTTAATTCAAAATATCATGATCATGGTACAGACTTGATGTTGTTGGTATGACGTAGATCTGAGAATTTATAATTTTATATCAAATCTAATCTTTTGGTAGACTGCAGAAAAAAACTCTTAGCTTCGAAATCATTCAGTGGTGCTACTCGTGACGAACTCAAATATACTGTATTTTTAAAAGTGACCAGCATTAAGAACTATGCTGCCTGTTGAAAATATAAAAAGTGCAAATTCAAGTTTCGTTTGGACTTTCAGTGTTTCCTGTGCTGCTCATTGAATTTTCCATTGAGTAACTTTTTCAAGGATCTGTGCTAAGAACATTTTGAGAATTGTTCAACATTTTCTGAAGATGAAAAGTATACTGAGACTCTTACAAGGAAATGAAAAATACTCAATTAGAATTATAAAAGACAGTTGAAGAAAACCATAATTTCTTTCCACGTTTGTCAGACTCCGGCAAACTTTTTTATTACCGCGTTTTTTAAATTTTTGCTTTCGTTTCAAGCAATGGATTAAAAATTCAAACATGAAAGTCTTTGAAAAAATTTTTTCGCGGAACGAATTTTTCGCCAAGTGAATTCTGTCCAAAAAGTATCTAAATTTTTTAGGCATTTAAGGCATTCGCAAATGCAATAATTTTTTCAAATTTTACAATGGACTCGAATACGAACTGCTTGTGAGTCAAGTAGAAATATTGGCGCCCGGAAATTGCGCTTAGGTAATTTCCAGATAATTGCTCTTCATTCGGGCAGCGCTCAGTTGGTCGGCGCTCAGTTTGTCTCTGAAGGAAAAATATCCGTTCGAAAAAGAAAAAAAAAACGCGGAGAAAACCAAAGAAAACGCCAAGATTCAACCCAGTGAAAGCTCAACAGTGTTTCTTGAACCCGGTCACAATGATTGCCAGCGGGACAAGCTTCAAGTTGTCGACTCATGGAAATAAAAGCCAGTTGTTTGCCCCGAGGGGGGTGATGACTTGGGGGATATCCGATAGATCCTCTTCGATCCTCGGCTTCATTATTGGGCCCATTCACTTCAGTGTTGTAGTGTGCAGTTTGTTTAACCCTAATCCCGTTCGACCACCGCGACTTTTCCCCTGTGTTTGCTGTGACTTACGCACTGTGTGATGAAGAATAAGAAAAAAATAATTCGTGACAATAAAATTTCCTTAACGAAGGAAACTTTCGTACGGTGTGGGGGAAATGTTCAATCGTAGTCTCTGAAGATGGCGAGCAAAATTTTGAATTTTGTGGAAAGTCGCGGCAACAAAAAAAAGTACAGTATTCGAAGTGTAGTTAGTTATGCTGCTTTATTCCAAGTCGTGGTAATTTTTTTTGTCAATGACTTTGTTCTGTAAATATGGTACAAATATGGGTAGAAAAAACTGAATATAGACCGTCCACAAAAAATAATAATACGTGATGCTAAGGCACAATTTTATCACCTATCGGATTGAATTTCAAGAGGAAAGTTTGCGAAGCTTTTCTCTCAAATTGAAACTCTTATTCGCGAGGAAACTTGTGCATATTTTCGAGCGCTTTTTTGTTCGTGGTGTTCGATGAGATTCGATGGATTTACTTCAGTCATGGAGATTTTCTGAAATAAAGGATTCATCCTGCACCTTTTTCATAACCCTCGCTTGTTTTTTCTTCATAATTCTTTTTAATCCTTTCGGGCCACGAAAAAAATTGTGCTTGTCTTCTTATACCTCGTATAGGGATGAAAAATTCGAATTACTTTTGATGCCGGAATCCGAAGACAAATTCCTTGATTCCGGGATCATGAGAAAAAAAAACGGAGACACATCCACTGGATTCGACACGCCTCAATCGACCTTAGCGTGAAGAATTACACGGGGTCAACCGAAATGAGAAATAAATTTATTTCCTCGCCCTAATACTTACGAACGGTTCAGGAATCAGGGAGCAGTAGAATTTCCCTCACGTTTTGATTTCATTTCATCCATGAAATCTGGCAGAAGAAATCGTTTTCAAAATTTTTTCAGTGCTTCGAAAATTTTAAGGAGTTATATATCAGGCAAGGTTTTTTATTTTTTGCTGCTGCTGTTGTTGGAGTTGGAAGTGGGGAATAATCTTTTTGGAATCGTAACGAATTCTATTGGCAATTCAACCCTGAGGTCAATCATTGCATTTTGCATGGATTGTTGAGGATTATCGATGCTGAGGATTGCATTTCCCATGACCAACATGGCACATCGAACGAGTCACGAAACAGCATCTGTAACGAATTTTCGCTCCGCCCGTCAAAATAAACCATGGAAATTCAAGCCGACCCTTTGATTCTGATTCCTTGAATTGTCAAAAATAGCAATAAGCCAAAGCCTTTTTCGCAATGGAATTTTTTTTCGGCAATGCAATTAAAAATCCTGATGAAAATTAACTCGACAGGCAAAGAAGGCGTACGCGAAAATATCTGAATTATGAAATTAACGCAAATAAGTGCAATATTTAAAATTAATTTTGCATTTTATAATCCTTCCTCATCAGCTCCTACAAAGTTTCTGTCTGTAGCCAAATTTTCAAAGAAAAAAGCTCATCTCTTTCTATATAGCCCTTGGAAACCTTCTCTCAATTTGTCAGCAGCAGCTCCACTACAACGATATGTTTTCGGTATAACGAATAATATGTCGTTTGATGGTCGAATTCATTTTAAACCTCGTCATTTATACTGTCTTTTTTGAACACTTTTACCTGATTTCCGACGTTATTCTTCAAAAATCATGGATTATTAATTCTCTTCACAGATTAGTGTTTTTTCGCGCAGGAAGGATTAAAATGAGAAATAATGTCCATCGATATTTTTGCGGAGAATGATGGATCTTCCCGCCTGTCTAATTGAAATGAAGCAGTTTGTATAAGAGTCAGAGAGGTCGTGAAGGCCTAATAAACAGCGCTTTGGAGATTTTTCCCTCATAGACAAAAGATGATCAAAAGCAGAATAGACATTCCAAGGGCTGAACAACCAGATATTCAAGCACAAAAGATTCGTTTGAATATCAAAGGGAACCCGAGGAACCCCAAATAAAAGCTCTATATATGGAAGCTTACTCACGCGGGCGGTATTAAAGCTTGAGGTTATACACACCCAACAAAAAAAAAAGAATCCAAATGGGCTTCACATGTGATCCAGGACTACTTACACCCACCAGCACAGCACTCGAATGCTCAGTCGAGGGGGGGAGGACGGAAAAACAGCAGCTATTGAATCTGGAACAATAGGGAGCAAATAATATTTCAATCCCCCGAGTAATTCCAATCCGGAGGTGAAAATATTTTCTGCTGTGCAGGCATCGGTGAGATATACTGGCCCCAGAGTTGCAATTATCGAGTCACTCTGACCCGGAA